GTTTGTTTGTGCTTAATATGCGCTGCTGCACTTGGTAAAAAGAAAAAGGGGAGGGGGGGGCCCGACTCGCTCCAAGTTCCGACACCAGGAAGTAGAGTTTTATAAAGATAGTCATTCCGTGAAAAACTCATGAATGGAGATAAAACAGACATTGTGCACAGAGGAATCTGACTGATAAAAACTGTGGAGCTAAACCAGAACAGATGGGGACAAATACGTCGGGTGAAAGTGGTGTGTTTTTTTTTCTGCAATGATTGTTGGCTGTTGCGGGGCGGGGGGGGGATCTATGCAGTGACGTATGGTTCAGTGGGAGGGGGGTTTCCCAAGCTCGGCGCGGGGTGTCTCATTGACTATRAAGAGTCTGTGCAAAAATGACTGCCGATCAACCACGTGACCGCGCGTCGACCCGTTGGCGTTGGAGCGAGTATGTTTCAGGCTTAACAAGCACAACACATTGACTGTGTTTGATTTAAAAACTGTGATTGAGCAATCAGGTTGATTAAAACAATGACATAATTAATGTCTTCTGAGCAAAGTTGCATCATATCCCCATCATAAATCAAYGAACAGGACAGTGTGGAATTTATTCACGTTTTAACAGTTTGCGGGCCGGCCAAAATACAGTCGCAGGCCAGAAATGGCCCAAGAGCCACCAGTTGAAGTAGACTGACTCCTCCACCCTTTTGTATAAATATTTTTAACGTCAGTCTTTTGTCACGCTGATCATTAAACACATTTGAAGTCTTTTCAGGAACCGTTGTGTTTACACATCTGGCCCGAGGCAAACARCAGCTTCTATTAGCAGCTGATGACRGCAAGATACAAGTGTGTTTAAACACACATACAGTAAAAAGGACAGGCATTTACTATAAGAATAGACTTTAGAAAGCAGCCAGCCTATCAAACTGCTGCTCAACAAACCACCAGCCCCCCTTCACCCTCTACTAATGCTTTACCCACAATCAGCCTCTGTCTTCAGCCATTAATATGATAATATTTGTCGTTGTCGGTGATGGAGGCCGCGGCATAATGAGATAATTACAGTGTTGTTTCATTTGGAGAGTGACACGTACGCTCAATCAAAATGGCAGACCTAATTACGAGCCCAGGGATTGGCTAATGGGATTGTTGGAGGAGTGGCAGCGTGCAAAATAAGACTCAACCTGCAGCCGTTCTTCGACTACTAGGGATGGGCTGGCTGCGTGTTCACTTGTGTGATGCGAGATGAATAAGTTCAGTAAAAGAAAAACAAAGATTTCATGGTGAATGAAATGTATCTTAAAAGACAACATGGAGGCATCCATCATTATAAAACAGAAGCAGCCCATCAGGATTTTCACGGCAGCACAGAAACTTTTGAAAGTTGTTCCCTCGTGGCAGGGAATCAGCACCAAGTTTGGTTCCAGCATTTTCGGCTCTAACACACACACACACACACACACACACACACACACACACACACACAC